TTGGGCCTCTACTTGTTTAACCTAAAAGCCGACCCTCGTGATATATATATTACCCAGTTTCTAGTGCGTGAGTGGGTGGGAGAAATGGAGCCGTGAGAAAGAGGGGAGGACCGTGCTTTGTGCTCTTGTGTCTTGCTTTGTGCTTGCTCTCTTCTCTAGCCTTTGTGGCTGTCTCTTGGGGCTGTCATACTCTTCACACCGAGTCCTTTGTGGGCTGTAGAAGGCTGGAGCAACCGGTGGATGGGTGGTGGTCGGATTGGAGAGTTCGGTTTGTTCTTGTGGTGTTTGATTGTGGTTTAATTTGAGCTCGGTTTGGTCGATTGGAGCCCCAAAATCTTACATCCAAGATAGAGTACTTGAGTTATCCTAATCTAACTAGGATTCGCGATGGTGGAAGAACCCGTAAAGGAATCAATGCTAAATTTTTCACATGGGATATGTCAAGCTCCCCACTTTTCCATTTCTTTATCAAACACAAACTTCATGACAGTAAATCATCTCAGAGGATCGCAATCGGAATACAATTAACTCAATCATGTAAGAGCAGGACAAGTGTAGCAATAAAAGCAATCGTATGGACCACTTTATCTCCTTTTATATTGGAAAAAAGTGACGAACAGCAGCTCACATTACGTAGAAAAACTACAATTTCAAAATAAATGGACCGATTAGGAGCAAGACTAAATTTTTTGAGGGCTGGACTGAGTCAAGTATATAAAGATTATGTACTCCAGAAACCAAAAAACGGACTCATTTAATCGTTAGTCTCTTAAAGCCTTCCAATTTACGGCTTCTGGGAATCTAGACGAGCCATTATGTTTCACAAATATTAGTGACTCGCTCCCATTGTTTGAACGGTCTTTAGACACATATGAACGGCCACCAGATTTCCGTTCGATGCTTCGAGAAGGATAGAATGTAGTAAAGGTGAAATTTCCTAGTACCTTCTATCATCATTGACTTGATTCTTACAATGAGATGCTGATGTGGAGAATTTGTCTAGTAGACACACTTAACAGCAGAAAACGCTTGGTTCCAGAAACATGCAGCAAGCAATGCAATTATAGTGAATGTACAATCCAAGGAATTACTACGGACTTTGATCCGCTTACGGCCTATCAGATTTTTCACCATTCATTGCTCGCACACAATTAGTTAGAATTGGACCAATAGATAATAGAATAAGCTGGAATGAAGAGCCTTGTGCGCTCTATGGACAATATTGACTCCATGTCTACACCAAGCACATACTGATTTCTTTCTTTACCGACTAGTCTATATGTATTGTCCCTAACAATTTCAGAGTTGAAGTACTTCATCTAAAAGTTTATGCTGGGCCATTCGCACCTCGAAGGAGGGGGATCTTGTGTGGTTCAAGGTCTTCTCGCTTCCCTAACTAGAAAGAAGACACGCTTATTTAACCCAAATTTAAACCCAGCTATAGTCATTCTTATTGTAAAATAAACGACTCTTTGTAATTCAATTGCGTAAAAAACTGGAAGCGTAAAACCTTAGCAATAGAGAAGACCAAACTGCCCTTTGTAAATATACTAAATTGCTATCATGTCTAACACTTGTACCATATTGAACCATCTCATCTAAACGTTTAAACTGTAAGAGACAAGACACATTCATTTAAATTTAGCCTTTAACATTTAATGCACAGCCCCTTACTTACAAGTTGTGATTTCTTGCAAGAGTATTTGATCTAGAGTCCATTTCGTGACTGAGAATTAATGTGAAAAATCCTTCTAGCCAGCTTCTTTTATACAAGTGCTACTATTTTACTAAGTCGTGCCATTTAGGTCCAATTTGCGACCTGAGCCAACATGAGTCGCATTCTTCATGTGAAAGTTCATCCTCATAAGGAATTCACAAGGATAACTCAGTAACAAGTTGTACAATTCCTCGTATAAATTTAGCATAATATAGAAACACATTGCATGAAATCGCACAAGCATGAAAATAAGTTTGAATTTGAAGTCATTCAATGTAAAGTCATCCAAATTTCCATGCAGATACTGAATTAAGTCGCGTTCCCTTCCATCCGAAAATTAGACATTTCCCATCCATATCAATCGAGCAAGAACCTCCACAAGAAAAATTATTAAGAAGAAGACTCCCTTGATAAATAGATGACATGCTCAGCTCCATCTCCACCATCCCGAACCATGCAAAACATGACCTCCAAATGTCTATACTCACATGCCGGAACCTTCTTTCCTCTCCCTCAGCTGCCACAATGTTCCTTATAGCCGGACTAAAGATTTTTGATTCGGAAATGGTTCTATTCGATTCATCATGCTTCATGCACTCTTCTAGGATATCAAAGAACGCACCATAGAAAAAAAGAGCTTCCACAAAACGATTCACGAAATATGGAGAATTATCATTTGCCTCAGATTCAGTGACAATCATAACACGGGGATTAATATTTTTAATCACTTTCATCAAAGATTGCAGTCTATCTTGCCGTGCAATCATATTCGTCAAAACATATCCTGCATAGAATGCAACTGCTTCATCAGCATCAAGATCAAAGAGACTTTCACGGAGATCTAGGATATCTTCTACCATGATTATTTTAAAAGAAAAGTTCAAATTCAAGGACCCTGCAAAGCTTTTTAATTGTCTTCCAGTCTCCTCAATCAACGGCTTAGATTTTGTTCCAACTGCAGTTATCTTAATATGATTGATAGGACACTCGCATCGAGCTGCAAGAGCTTGCATTAAAATTGTGAAATGCAGGCCATTCCGGATCTCAAGATCAACAATATGCACCTTGCTGAAGTTCGATACATGCTCGATTATGGATTGAATTCCAGAAAATTGAATGACCTGAGACAGAGGAAATCCTTTGTGAAATGCAAGCATGGTAGGATTCAGACTCATCAATTTGGTTTCCACATCAAGTGACTGCTTCTCCACCAAATCCTTTCCTTTAATTATTCCAGTCTCCCTATCGATCTTCTCGTAAAGAGCCTCAGTGAAATAATATACTAATCTTTGGATGGTACTCTTTTTACTGGAGCTGAGCACGTGACAACTTTCGAGGAGCTTCCTTGCAGAATCATACTGTTTGTTACCTACTCTTTCAGCACAAAACAGAAGACCTTGAACAAGTTGAACATCTTTGTCCATGGCGGAGCCCAAATATGAACTGGCATATGGAAGGCTGAGCACAGAGAGCTCATCGCTGCTAGAGGAATTGGATTGAAGAAACTTTTCTGCAGCCAACTTGATAATTGAATCAACAGATGATATCCCACAATTGATCTTAGTGCAATTTGTTACATGGCTCTGTACATTTAACCTTTTGAGCCCGCTCTCATAGTTCCTTAACATCTCAAGGGATGCAGAAGGAAACACGCACGGCGTTTCTTTCTTGGGTTCAATAAGCTCGGAAATTTGAGACTCGATACCGACATGCTGATTAATGTCCTCCTCACTGGATTGAAAAGGAGGAGAAACAACATCGACATACAAATCATTTAAACTGCCAAACTGTTCCATCAGTTGTTGTTCTTGGCGATATTTATGTAACAGTTGTTGCTCGGCAATATTCTCCAGCCCCTCAAAATTAGTTCCCCATGATTCTACACAATCTTCACTTCCACAAGGGCTATTTTCTTTAACTAATTTCCTTCCATCCTCATTCTCAAAAGCCTTGAAAGAATTATTTTTACCCATAACTTCACAAAAATCAAATTGATGTGACCAAATATTTCACCCAATCTCAAATCTAAGGATGCTACAGCCATCCTTGAATTTTCACAAATTTATTATACTAAAACAGTCGATAGAAAATTTGTTTTTCACGACACTACAATGTTGTCAATTAATTTACTATAGATCCCTTTAGATGGTGACTATTTCCTTATATAGAAATCGTCATATTACGTACTTCATTATTTAAGAATATCATTAATTGGATTTCTCAAGCCATTATGTTTCGCTAAGCTTAAAAACAAGTAAAAAGTTACTTTTAAGAAATTATTTCCAAGCATGTATCGAAATTAGTCACGGTAATATCAAAACAAGAAATCAAAATAGTATTCAAAGAAAGCAGAAGAATCTGTTGGTGTAATAAGACAGGCAACAACAGAAAATACGAGGTAGCTACGATGACAGATACAGATAGTGTATTCAAATGTCGCTAGAAAATGACTGATACAAAAAGACAAATGGGGAGAAGAAACCAATGCAATAAAGCTGCCCTTTGAAGTTTCGAGGAAATTACGAGAAATGTCCACTTGCACATTGCATTTGGATATTTGTAAAAATGTTCAAAATTTGTTCAATATTTATTTTGCAATATTTTAGACCAAAATATCTTCGTTAATAATTTATAATTCCACACTAAAGAAAAAATGTGCATACAATTAAATATTTTGTTGGCCAATAAAATTTTAACACATAACATACCCTACTTATTTTAAAGAGTAATGCTATTTACCCCCACTGAGGTTATAACCTCAATCTAGATAGCGTTAATGTGACATTAAATGATACGTGAAATTAAATAAGTCATTTTATTTCACATTTCACTTGGCCTATCATTTAGAGCCAAATAGACTTTGATTACAACCCCACTAGGGATGAGTAAATTATTCTATTTTAAAAGTACACATATCAAATCACAATAAAAGCTATATTTCTCATTGACACGAGTACAAAATATTGAGAACTACATTTCAAATGTCAATAATTTTATGAAATGTAGAGAACTCTCATGTTTGGAATGAAATTTCGATCTAAATAAATGAAGTATCAAGATAAATAGAGTTCAAATATCGATAACAACTTTTAAAATATCGAGAACACCATTTTAAAGTAGCTTCTCATGTAAGATATTTCTTCTTCTCGAAATTCGTGACAAATTGAAAAAAAATTGATTCAATTTTCATTAAGGGTATAATAGACAATTTAGTACTAAATTTGGCCATTTTTGCCAGAGTTATCAAAATTAGACATTTTTTAATTGATAAGCATGTAATTAGCCATTTTTGTAAATTCCCCTTGAAGTTTTTTAGGTACATATTTTAGGGTTTATAAGAATATTTTTTCAGAATTTAACTCTTGTTTGATCCCTATTATTTTCGAGTGCTGCTACACTGTAGGGCCACATTGGCCCTAGCACAATGAAATACCTCGTTATTTTTAAAAGTACACATATCAATTCACAATAAAAGCTATATTTCTCATTGACACAAGTATAAAATATAAAATATCGAAAACTACATTTCAAATGTCAAAAACTTTATGAAATGTAGAGAACTCTCATGTTTGGAATGAAATCTCGATCTAAATAAATAAAGTATCAAGATAAATAGAGTTCAAATATCGATAACTTTTAAATATTGAGAACATCATTTTAAAGTAGCTTCTCATGTAAGATATTTCTTCTTCTCGAAATTCGTGACAAATTGAAAAAAAAATTGATTCAATTTTCATTAAGGGTATAATAGACAATTTAGTACTAAATTTGGCTATTTTTGCCAGAGTTATCAAAATTAGACACTTCTTAATTATTAAACATGCAATTAGTCATTTTTGTAAATTCCCCTTGAAGTTTTTCAGGTACATATTTTAGGGTTTATAAGAATATTTTTTTAGATTATAACTCTTGTTTGATCCCTATTATTTTCGAGTGCTGCTACACTGTAGGGCCACATTAGCCCTAGCACAATGGAATACCTCATTATTTTTAAAATATATTTTTCTCTCTATTTTTTAACCACATATTTTTTAAGATTGAAGGAAGGGCCACGTCCGAGGCACTGGCTTCCCCCTCAAGTCTTATAACTTCTAAGTCCTGCTGAAGATTCTAGAAACAGAAGGAAGTTCAGCCCATATTTCTTGAAGTGTCGGGGAATATTCTCCATCAATCTACTACTCTAAAATGTATTCTTAGCCAAAAATGGGATTCAAACGGGCGCATAGTAATAAGGTGTGCAGACCTTGCAAGGCAAAGTCAGTGCAAATTTCATTATTTTTACTAAGCCCCTATTTGGGCTCCATTTTATTCAAAATACATTTTTCTTTTTTTTTAAAAAATCACACATTTTTTAATAAAATAATGCTCATATTTGGTTTCCATTATAATTTCATACATTTTTCTTTCTTCTTATTTTAATCAGACATTCTCCAATAAAATAATATTACACGCAAACCCAAAACTTTTCCTTCTTTTTTAACCACACGTTCTTCGAAAAAATCACTATTCAAAAATGCATTATTCCCAAAAAACTCATTATAATGGATTCCAAACAAGGGGCAATATTACACGTAAATTTAAAACTTTTCATTCTTTTTTAACTGTTACGTCCAAATTATAATTGACAATTTCTAAATTTGTAATTGACAATTTCCTTAGTCAAAATTATGACCTAATTGAATTGTATTAAAAGTTTATCAAGTCGCAATCAAAGTAAAAAATTTAAGTTATTGAGTTGTAATTATAGCAAAATAGTTGAAATTGGTAGTACAAGTCTTGAAGGAATATAAGATGTCCAAGAAGATTACATATGATCATTAGAATGCAATTAGAAGTCTAAAGAGGGTTAAAAAGCCGCACAAATTATGCTACAAATTCTCAGTCGCAATTTACAACGCATTTTCACATATAAAATATTGGGATTTGGACAAGGCTATTTCTAGATAATTTTAACCATTTGAGTTAGCTTTTCAATGCATTTTGATTTATCTCAATCGAATATCGAGAGAGACATGTATGATAAAAATACGTATTTACTTATAAATAAAGTTTTTAAACCAAGACAAACGCGCTCTAACGGTAATCAAAAAATCTCCTGGGCCAGGCTCAAAGCCAGGCCCAACCTGGGCCTGGCTTTGAGCCTGGCCCAAAAGCACGGCTCAACAGTAATAGTCGAAAACCAGGAATGCAAACAGTGAATAAAAGATGACAGAAGACTTTATTGGTGTACTTTACGAGACATGAAATAACAGAAAATACGAGACATTTACGATGAAAATATATTGTATTCAAATGAGGGTAGAAATTGACTGATAAAAAAGGCCAAAATAGGAAGAAGCCAATGCAAAAAAACTGTCCCGTATGCAGCAAGAAGCGGAAAAAACATACGAAATAAGATGAAAATTCATTGAATCTAAGGAGATACCGACAATGCACCATTATACAATTCTTTGTTGATGTGTATTTAATTATTTTATTTGTAATTTGTTTATAGTTTTGAACAGTTGAGACTGTTTATAAATTGTTTCTTAAGGCCCGTTTGATTCTCGTTATTGTAGAATGAAAATGAAAAATATAGTCGTATTGGGCCCCACATAAGAGATAAGAATTCAAAATTGATAACTTGATGTGATAGATAACGATCGTATTTTTCATTTTTATAGATGAAAAATGAGAAACAAAAGGAATGACAAATTTGTCCCAAGTTTGAAACAATAGCGAATTTTACTACACTCCTATTTGAGCTCCGTTAAAATTTTAATGCATTTTTCTTTTATTTTTTCTTCTAAATCACACATTCTTCAATAAAGTCCTTGTTTGATCTCCATTTTCTCCAAAATACATTTTTTTTTCTCTTTTTTTCAACCACACATTTTTCAATAAAATAATATTATATGTAAATCCAAAACTTTTCTTTATTTTTTAACCACATACTTCTCGTCAATCCATTGTTCTAAAATACATTCTTAAAAAATAATGGGGTTCAAACAAGCTCAAGATAATATTGCACGTAAATACAAAAAATCTCATTCTTTATGAACCCCAAATTCTTCCAAAAAGTTACTATTCAAGAATACATTTTTACTCAAAATTTGATTTTTAACAAAGGCTATAATTAAAAGGTTTGAATGGATTATGCTTTAAAGGGTTGATGGTAGATTTATTATATTTTGCAAAGGTTGGGATGAAAAGTGCAAATTTCTCTTCTATTTTAGTCACTGTTTGATTCTCATTATTGTAGAATGAGAATGAAAAATATAGTCATTATTGGGCCCCACACCAGAGATAGAATTTCAAAATTGATGACTTGATGTGATGGATGACGATCATATTTTTCATTTTTATAGATGAAAAATGAGAAATAAACGGAGGTTCAACTTCATGTTCAGTTTACTACAAATAACGATCTGATCACAAGATCTAAATGTCAATTGAATCCATCAATGTTCAATAACCATGCATTTCAACTCATAAAAGTCCTATTCAAGTAACTGGGGATCACGTGACGAATGGCTAAGGGCATTTTATTTTATTTTATTTTATGTTCTAAATTTAATTTGTATTTAATTAAATAATATTAAAAACGATAAGTGAACCGGAAGGAAAATAGAAATATTCTAATTCATATTTAGTTGCCTTATCCTGACACTCAATAATTATGAGGATGGAGTTTCCTGATCTCGCTCTTCCTCATTGCCATCCTACGTCTCCACTCCAGCATTGTTGCCCATATAAATAATTGTCCACGCGACAAAACATCTTTCAAGCGGGTATGGATAAAGCTTGAAGGACTAAAATGAAATTTCACTCAAAATTAGGTAACCTCCATTGTATTTTGGAACCTACAAAAAATATCTCACCAATAATCTGATTTTAATCCATCCCATACAAGCTCTAAAAACGATAAGTGAACCGGAAGGAAAATAGAAATATTTTAATTCATATTTAGTTGCCTTATCCTGACACTCAATAATTATGAGGATGGAGTTTCCTGATCTCGCTCTTCCTCATTGCCATCCTACGTCTCCCGCATTGTTCCCCACATAAATAATTGTCCTCGTGACAAAACATCTTTCAAGCGGGTTTGGTGTGGAAATATAAAGCTTGAAGGACTAAAATGAAATTTCACTCAAAATTAGGTAACCTCCATTGTATTTTGAACCTACAAAAAATATCTCACCAAAAAACGCGCTATGTCACCCCCCACCCCCCCACCCCCCCCAAAATAAATAAATAAATAAATAAAATCGTTGATTTTCTACTGATATAATTGATCAACTTTCATTTTATTCTTCATTATCAGTGGGAATAACCGGGTGAATTGGATCTAAAAACAATGGCGGAGGATAAGTACAATCTGAAAAACCCGGCGGTGAAGAGGATTTTGCAGGAGGTCAAAGAAATGCATTCCAATCCTTCCGATGATTTCATTAGCCTACCACTCGAGGTTTATTTTATAATTAATTTCAATTCAGTTACCTAAACCGCTTATGTAATTGATTTATTTAAAATTGTATATAGCTAATTTCTGTTATGGAATATTTTTGAGGAGATTTATTTTGAAACATGATTTCAATTTCATTTCCTAAACTGCTTGTTTAATTGGTTTGTTTACGAATGGATTCAGCTAATTATCTGTTATGGAAAACATTTTTAAAAAAAAAAACAATTTTAATTCCGTTTCCTAAAGCTGACTGTTTAATTGGTTTATTTGCAATTTTATTCAGCTAATTTTGTCTTATGGAAATATTTTTAACTTTGTGAAATTTCAATTCTATTTCCTTGAATGCCTGTTTAATTGGTTTATGTTGAATTGAATTCAGTTACTTGTCCGTTATTGAATATATTTTTATGATTTTTTAAAGGGGTTCTATATTAAAGGTGTGTTTCAACCACATTATTTTGGAAGAATGTATTTTGGAACAGTAGATTGATGGAGATTGTGTGGTTGAAAAAAAAGGAAAACTTATTGATGTGATGAAAATTATTATTTTATTAAAAAATGTGAGGTTGAAAATAAGTAAAAGAATGAGAATAAAAATTTTAATGTGAAAAATGCGAATATGGGATTTTTTATTTTTTTATTTCTAATCTGAAATAGTGAAATTTATTTTGTATTTTTGGATGATAGTTAAGGGAATGGAATTATATTTTTCACTGTGATCTAATGTTGAAATTATTTTGGTTCGAGTATTATGTATGATTTTTACTTATTAATATATGTGATAGCTCAAGTCTTTACTCTTTTCTCTTGACGAGTGCGAAAATGTTTAATTTTGGATATGTAAAACCTTGTAGAAGATTCATACCTTTCTGTTTGATTTTACTGGTGAACAAGGTGCAACCTCATATCTAAATTTTAAAATGAAACGCAGTGCTGTTTTTGTCATGTTGAAGCAAGTAATTTTACTCTCAATTGGCTATTTTTTTGTTCTAGTTATTGTGTTGTGAATTATGCTACAACAGTCTGAACTCAGGCTCCAAAACTTTGTTTTCAGGAAAACGTATTTGAATGGCAATTTGCTATTAGGGGACCTCAAGATTCGGAGTTTGAGGGAGGAATATATCATGGAAGGATCCAGTTGCCTGCTGAATATCCTTTCAAGCCTCCTTCGTTTATGCTGTTGACGGTAATGCTCCATTTCTCCTCAAGTAGCTCACTGTTTGAGTTTCTTGGATTTTCCATGAGGATGTGTAGTAAAAGATTGTAGTTTACTCCTTTTAATAGTTACTATAAAATTTTGATTGGTATTGACAGAGATTTGCTAATCTAATTTGGATTTCCCCTTACAGCCAAATGGTCGATTTGAAACTCAAACCAAGATATGCTTGAGCATTTCAAGTCATCATCCTGAGCACTGGCAACCATCCTGGAGTGGTAACTTTTCTTTCAAGCTATTTCCACCTTTCCAGTGATTCTAGCCCATTACTAGATAAAGTCATCTGTTTTATCTTATTACGAGTTGTATTAAATCATCTTTATGTCTTTTGTATGATAATTCATATGCATTTACAGCATCTTCATAGCTCCTAAAAGAAACTATACTTTAAGCCCATGTTTGGTCCCCATTTTCTCCAACTCCTTTTCAACCAAACATTTGATGAAATCCACAACTTTTGTTAACTTTTCAACCAAACATTTCATCAACATTTATCAAAATCTACTAAAAATCTAGCCCCTGTTTGGGCTTCATTAAAATTTAATTTTAGGAAAAATGTATTTTGTAACAGTGATTCTTTTGGAGAATGTAGTTAAAAGATAAGAAAAGGTCTTGGGTTTACGTGTGATATTATATTATTGGAGAATATGTGGTTGAAATTAGGAGAGAAAAAAAATGCATTTTACCTAAAATGGAACGCAAGCAAGGTCTAATTTTTAGCTAAACCAAACAGGGGCTAAATGTTCAATATCAGATGAGAGTGTACTTTGGACTAATTGTGCCTTCTTGCATATCAACACTCTCGAACACGTCATCTGACCTAATATATTTAGAGTCCTTTCACGAGTAAGTAAAAAAATTCAAGCAATGTGTCAGACTGTTGATTCTCACAGTACTGGGTACTATTTTGCAGTTTCTACATACTTGAAACTTTAACGTGCAAAGTTACTTGATTTCAATAGAGAGTGGATATGTTTTCTGCATAATTTTACAAGAATAATGGAGGGAGAGAAATTAAGACACAGGCTGTTTTAATATCAAGTACTAGAATGGAGCGTGTTCTTTGCCATCATCTTTGCTATCAACCAATAATTGCCCCATGAGTACACCTATTTTTATTTCTTATATGATACACAAAAATTTATGACACCTGTCAATATGGATGATGATTTTGGCAGTACGGACTGCTTTAGTGGCACTAATTGCATTTCTGCCCACAAGCCCAAATGGTGCACTGGGATCATTAGACTATCCAAAGGAAGAAAGGCGGTCTCTAGCAATTAAATCTCGTGAAGCTGGTCCAAAGTTTGGGTCTTCTGAACGCCAAAGGCTTATTGACGAGGTTTGTCATGTCCTACTTTACCTGAATTTATGCATAATATGTGAGTTCAATACTAATCATTTGTTTGTACAGATTCACGAATATATGCTAAGCAGGGTACCTGCAGTTCCTCAAGAAAACACTACAAAGGCTTCTGAAGTTCCAAATGATAACAAAGAGCATGAAAGTCAGGGGAGTGCTCGAAACGCTTCTTCCGAGATCATTGAGGAATTTCTTCCAAATCCGGCAGTAGATGATGGTATCGTTGAAGAACCAAATGAAACATCTTCAAATGCAAATGCTGTTCAGACATCACAACCTGTTTCTGTAGCGAACTCAATTGAGCAGCAGCAGCTGTTGCATAAGCCAGAAGCCAGACATTCCAAGCCGGCCGCTGACCGCTTCTTGACGTATGCAGCTGTTGGGCTTACCGTTTCCATTGTTGTTCTTCTCTTGAAGAAGTTTATGAAAGCTAACGGGTATGGAACTGTCTTCATGGATGAGTCGTGAACAACGGTAAATAGGAGTTGAATATGCATAAAGGTAGATGTAAAGTGGAAGGTATATATACTTCAAATTGCATAGAAAATGCAAAATTCTGTAATCTAGGTTATTCAGTATCTTATTTCATTTCAATATCAAAACATGGACACTATATGTTTAACTTCTTTCTCTTTTCGACAGAGTAATATTGTATGGATGAAAAACAATGTATGCTTGAAGTACAAAACTAAAGATATTATAATAACTTTTCCTCAAGGTAAGTTTACAGACTGGATTGAATTCGTGGTTTTCATAAAGTACATGTGTATCCATGTAGGTTGATGAATGTAAGTTGACTTGATCGATGTCGATCGTCATCGCCATTCTCTAGGATAAATATATACTTCATTTAACTTTTTTAGCACCCGGCAGTAAAAATTAACTAAATTTAGAAAACACTTCTTTATAACAGGTTCGAATCAAATTGAAAAGTTTCAAAGCACTTATTTTTACACAATTTAGGAAGCTTAAAGACTCGAATCATATTGGAGTTTGAATACATATTGATTGTGCTCGAAACTCGAAAGGTTATGAATCAGCTTCTATGTCAATCGATGACATAAAAGTGGGATATGGGAAAACATCTTCTATAGAAATTTTTGTAGCTTCTTTATCCTGACGCAAAACGATGCCGAAATAAATCATTTGGATTCCAATTTACTCGTTTCCAGAAGAAATAAAAAATATAAATGACTTAACCAAAATTGTGTCGTCTATGTCGAAAATATGAGCTGTGGGTTTTAACGGTACTTATTTCCTACAAGCTTCTTGATGATGTTCCCAAACTAATGAGAATAGCTCAAAATTATATACATCTTGAACTAAACAATGCAAAAAAATCCCAGAATTGCAAATTTAGAAACCATTATGCAATTTAAATGAAGTAGATTTGTGTATTGATCAATCTCGAAGGAGGGAAGCGATGGTCATATAGTCATGCATTTAAGAATTATTCTATTTATACCTAAACATTTGTACCGAAAGTTGTTCATACTCTCACAATACATGCGGGCCCCATGTGAATATAAAAATTTCAAAATGTGGTCCCCACCCTCTATTGTGAGTAGTAGGTAAAACTAAGTAAAAATTTTAGGTAAGTGTAGCATTGTCTTACATTTAATTAGTAAATTTATCATCCATTTCATATTTCTTCGTTCTTTCAATTTACCAGTAGGATTAAAAAGTCTCCAACCCGTCTCGCATTGTCCCTCAAATTTCTTGATCCATCTGTATGTCTTTATTTTATTTCTATATTATTAAAAATTAATTAATTAATTAAATGAGACTGTAAATAAATATATTTTAATTCGTGTAGCCCTACTTCATAAAAATCTCCAACAAGGCAAGGCGGAAATGGCCAGCCCGCCTCCCCCACGCAACATGCCATCCTTATTTAAAGTAAAATTATTTTTTAGTTTTAAGTAAATAATCCAATTGCAATATGTTTATTCACTTAAATCACAAATAATTTCAGACAAAGTGAAAGAATCAAGAAAAACATTAATATATGCATTATTAACTTACCTCTTGTTTGAGCCCATTTCTAAGAAAAAATATATTTTTGAATAGTAATTTTTTTTTTAAATGTGCAATTAAAAAATTAAAAAAAATCAATTTTTATGTAAAATTATTTTACTGGAGAATGTGTAATAAAAAATCAATTTTTGAAAAAATGAAGACCAAACATAAGCTTAATGAAATGAAGTTTACTAATTTTGATAATATACGTTTTTATTAAATATTAACGAACCAAATTAGTGCACAAATGGTATGAAATTATTCTCAATGACAATTTAGACATTGACAATTATACTTAGCTTCGGTTTGACGTACTTAAATATGGTCTGTATAAGGCAGCGCTATCAATGACCATATAGTGTCATTTTTTATTTTTTATTTTACAACATTTATTTATTTTTTAAATAGGATGTTACATCAAACGCATTAGAAAAATGTGATAATCATATTCCATCTTAATCATACTCTCGCTAATCTTAGTCTCCAAATTCTAGCTAAAATAAAATATTATTACGAGTTTGAAATTCAAAAAAAATATATATATGAAAATTAATTCTCATTTAATTTTGAAAGAAGTTTATTTATGGAGTAAGACTTAGTGGTTGCAACATTATTAAGGAAATAACATTTGGATTTTGAAATACTTTATAATGAAATTAAGCCCCCTGAAATACATTTGAGATATTTTCTATCCCTATCAGCACACATGCATCAATAGTAACGATTGAGACAAACAAAATCTCGTTACATCCCTTGAAAACAAATGATAACGTTGGACTGTGAAGTACACAAATTAATGAAGATACATGAAACTTTTGTACCCTGTTGAAATAGTTGCTTTGAATATCCCATAGGATTCTCAGTTGTACACATTGCTGATTAAACTAAAAATAGACGAAAAACAAGAACACTAAAACTTATGAGTGCTCAAGCATCATGAATTTTAATCATATGCATTCCTTAGCATGAACAGTATCGGTGAGTTCTCTCATATTGAATAAATGAAGTCTTGTCTAACGAGAAAATGATCGTGTTTACATCACATGCTCCACTCGAGAGCGGGATCTTATAATTCATTGAACATGCTGAATATTTTTCAGACAACACTTTATTCCTTCTCCCTCTAGAAATGAGAAAAGGTGTCAAAGACCCTATCATATTCAAAATATCAAACAAAAAAGAACAAATGGCCTTTAATTTATTCTTCGGACATTATTTATTTTCATCTATATCTATGTGCAATTAGGTGTCCTTACTCGCATATAAGATCATGATGTTCAATGATATACTTCAGAAGCATCCGCAAAAACCGACGCCTTTGCTTGAAGATACTTTGTGCCATATCTTTTGAGCTTTCCTTGCCTGTGCCACACGCTCCTTAACCTAAGCAATTTATTTAGATGTCAGTTTCAGTCAGTAATAGCATAAACTTTCCAGTACTCTTTTGAGCAGTTGCCTCTCTCTTTCTAACTTTAATAGGGCTGTATACAAATGGGACTTGGTAACTCCAAGATTACACATTTAAAATAGAAAGCTTAACAAAAGTACTTGAGCTGAATTTTGAAAAATTGAATGCAGATTCTAGATAACGAACTGCTTCACATTACCCAAATTCAAATTTTAATATATCCAAATCCACAAGAAATTTAGGTGTAATTGTCAATAAACTAAAGAACTTCCATCCTTATGTGCTGTTAATGAAGATGATACACCAGAAGTCTAATTACCTCTACATCCTGAAAACAAGGTACCTTCTTACCTAGAATTGAATAATTGCACGTACATAGAATGTATCAGTTAAAGGAAGGGAGGAGAGAAAAAATATAGAGAAGGGGCCAATATATGAAAATCCAGCAATATCAAACCTCATCAGGTTTCAGTGCAGGGAAGTAGCCCAGGTAATTCATTGTTGCAGGGTCATAACACTGGACTTTATCCGTTTGTCTTCTTGAAGGTATCTGCATTGAAATCCAGTTTCACTTTTGAGAATTCAGATACTAACTTATACCATCTACCACGAAAGCACTCTAAATCTAACATTGGAAAACATTTCCTTACATAACATACAGACACAACACAAGTGCCAAATTATGACAATTCCAAAAGATGTAAATCTGTAGCAACCATGTGTCATGAGCACTTGAGCAGATCAGCAGAGCATTGAGGAAATGAAAATGTACTCGACGAATTCAGTAGGTGAATAAACTGTTCTCCAGTTTTCATTTTGAGCCCTCATTGTCATGTAAGAGGAAAAAAAATAAAAATAGAAACTCATAGTCACAATAGCTTATTGTTTGCTGTATAAACAGCCCACACCGGATAGTTTATACCGTTTTTAATAAAATCAGATTTAAGTATTGAGCAGCTCCACTTTCCTTCAACGGAAAAAGAATAATGTATTTCCAAGTAAAATAAATATTAACTGAAAATTTAACAGATAGGTACATTAATTTTTTGAGACAGCTCTTTCAAGATCACATGTCATAATTTTAAAATTAATTAGAGCATTCAAATTTCAGTTATTTTAATCCATAAGCATAACATACACATTATAAAAATTTATAAATGGACAAAAATAAATATTTAAATTAGGACCTGAGAGAGCTGAGATAAGAGAATAGCAGAGGTGACGCCACTGGAATATGCAATTCAAGTCTTGAGAATCCAAGACACAATCCAACTCCATCCCGGCCTGTTTATCATCTCTTCTTCAATAAAAAAAATATTGATGCCCATAACAGCTTTGACCCGAACCTTTTTGACACCACCACCGCGGCAACCAAGCAGATTCCCGAGGAGGAGGGGAATGTCAGTTAATGGCGCCAATTTTAAAGGAATTGGTTAATTAATGCCTAAATAAGAGAATCATCCCATTTGATACGTTATTTTTCCTCACCATTCCTATCTAACCAACCCTTTCTGTCCCAACATCTGAAATTCTGAATCTTTCATCAGAATCTCATAATCCACATTTATTCAAAATAACCCACAAATCAAAATCAATCTTTTTGATCAAATGGACAGAAATTATTGGCCTTTTGGCTTTCTCTGTCCATCCTTGTTCCATGGACGAAAACAAGGTATGTTACAAATCCTTAAATCTTCGTAACGATAAAATTTTCGTTACATTGAATGCGTGTACTGATATAATATTTTCATGTTTAGGAGTGAAACAATCAACATATTGATGAAGAAAGAAGAAAATTTCTGGGTCGAATGGTACGATTCCTTTGTCACCCCAGAATGAAAGCGGGATCTTATAGTTCTTTGTTAGGTGCATTCGAAGATCAATTATATATTCTTGTATTATAGATATGAACTGTAATACCAACATCTTCTTTTGGGCAATTATATATTCTTGTATTATAAATAGAATTCATTCTGCTTCAAATCTTGAATCCTATGTATTGGCTTGTGGCGCTTCAAGTAATGCCACTGATGCCAATGGC